AAATTCAAGAATGGGGAATCATAGCGCGACACAACTACTCATTGGTTGCTGAGCACAATTTTGAGCCATCTGTAACATAATTCACAAAAGCTGCAGGGGACAGTACTTAACTCTATGTTAGATTTTAAAATATACCTGAAATTGTTAATACAGTTTCAGTTTATCCTAAAATTATTAATGATTCAGCAGAAAGGAGTTTGTGGAAATTACATTCAGAAAGTACAAAATCCCCAGAATTATATATTAGGATTTTCATAATATTATTCAACATATTACAAATATCTTATTCTTTTCCAGTGCAGTCCTACTGCCGCCAAGATGCTCTAGGAAGAAACAAGAAGAGACAAGACAAGCAGACATCGTATTGCCTCGTCACAGCGGTAAATGCAAGCCTAAACGATGCCGTCAGGAATGCCAGAAGTCGTGTCCCTGTGGTGAGAATGGGTAAACTCTGCTTGAGGTCACCATCAATGACAAGCTAGCATCCATCATGAGGAGCTTTTGCATTGGATGTGGTATATGTGTGAAGAAGTGCCCATTTGATTGCCATTATGATTATCAACTGCCCCGTAACTTGGAGAAGAACATTCCAAAAGTCCACCGCTACAACAAGAATTCCTTCCAAGCTTCTCGACTTCCTGTTCCACGCCGGTGAATCCGGATGGTTGCACAAATGGAATTGAGAAGTCGACAGCACTAAAGTCTTGGCTGGAAAACTGAAGCCCCACGTCTAGGTCGCTTTGCAGATCAACCAGATGGACTGATATTCTTACCTACTTCCTGGTAGTGACTGCGAATTACTTCACTACTTGGCGCATCTGGAAGATGATTTAAAAGCCATCATCAAGCCTAGTATGTAATCCTATTCAGGCCTGTCAAAGGCTCTGTCAAGATCTGCTTAACAAGAGTGATATTGGTAACTTGGATGGATGCTCACTGTCTGGATCTGCCGGAGCGTCTTAGTGGCGCAACAATAGAAATTTGTCTGGAGGAGAACTTCAGAGGTTTTGCAATAGCATGTGTGCATTCAAAGCTAATATTTATATGTTTGATGAGCCATCCCTCATATCTTGACGTCCAAGCAGCGTTTGAACGCCTCGGTGCCATCTCGCTTCCATGGAACAGAGGATAACTATGTGGTGGTGGGGGACATGACTTGGCTGGTTAGATTATTCTTTCTGTATTTCACTGTTTTTGGTATGGCCAGCCAGTTGGCATTGGAGTGTCAACTGTATCCGTTCCTCATTGAGGGGAGGTATCAATGTTGTCACGTGATGGCTTTGTTCCAACAGAATCTTAGGTTCAGAGAGGAGTCTCTCACCTTCAAAGTATCTGATCAGCTGAGTGAAGAAGAAATCAGAAATGTTCGCTTAAATTACCCCAAAAATGACTAAGAAATGGTGACTTCCCCATCGACAATAGATGCTGCAACTTCACAAGCGATTCAGAAATTATGGTGCTGCTTTGGGGAAATGGAACTGAAAAACTACTTCATCCGAATTGCTTGCAGGACGATTGAACCTGATGAAGGCAAGTCTGATTTACCAGAGCTGCACAGATCCTACAAGCCACAGAAGATCAGTCCAAAAGTCGTCTACTGTGCGGCAGCTGCTTCATGACAAGATCAGAGATGCATATTTCCCTCAGTTTGTTACTGAATGTAATGAAGCCCTATGAGATTGAAGAGCTCTTGTGCAAGAGTCCGCCAGCATCTTTCTGGAGGAGAATTTCAACGTGTGGCTTGACTTTGTGTCTAGTTGTTCCTGCAGCTGGTTATCTTATTGATGAAACCAGCTGCCTTACTTAGACTCAGAACAGCGTTTAGCTGCTGCTAAGGTCATAAAAGCGCTTCATTATGCATCCCAAGAAGACTGCTTTGTTGTAGAGCACGATTCAGTATGGGCTACATACCTTGCAAGACAGAGTCATTGTCTTTGAGGGTCAGCCATCAGTCAGGACTTGTCCATGCACCCCAGACACTGGTGCTGGAATGAACAAGTTCTTGGAGATTTTAGGAATTACTTTTAGACGTGATCCTAAACACTTAGGCCCTCGTCATCAACAAGGATAGTACCATAAGATGTTGAACAGAAGAACTCTGGCAATTACTTCTTCCTTGATGTTTGAAGGGCAAAGGGGACTCAAAGATGATAAAAAGCACTGAAATTTTGATATCTTGGCGCTTATATTTTTATTAGAAATGCCAGCTTCTGCCTCCAAGCCACATACCATTAGCCATGCAGTGCTCTCATATTCAGACATGGTGGATATAGATTGTATGGGCACAACTATCACAACCTCCCCCAATCATTCAGGGAAAAAAAAAAAGAAAAAAGGAAAAGCAACAACAACTGAAGGGAGTACTACTGCAGCCTGCATTTGTCTGCTATTAGATCTGTCAATATTGACTGTAAAGTTCCATCTGTATTATTTTTTTATGGTGGAATTTCCTGCCCTGAGTGATTAAAAATATTTTAGATTGTAAACCCTGCAACAGCAGTAAAAGATTGTTCCATCCATTTTGATTCATGTAAAGGATTGTAACAGATTGCATTAATGCAGCAGTGAGGGAGAATGAACAGCAGTACATCAGTACCTCTTGCCAAACTCTCATACATGACATTATGTACACTGTTCTGTCATGAAACCAATACAAATGAATCAACATGTCTTTAATGTTGATATTATAACTTGTATGTTTATTTTTACAATGTAATAGTAAATGAATTTAGATGGATGATTGTTTTCCCTGTAATGCATACTCTTTAATTGTTGGAGCCTGAAAGGTTGTCTGCACCATCCAATGACATAGCTGTTTGCTATATTTCCATAATGAGAATTTCAAGCAGACTAAGGGCTGCATCTGCTCATATCCAAACATTGTTATTTTTAAGCGGTCCAAATTATGTTTATATTATATTATGAGGTCAATATTGAAATGGCAGTGATGGTATATTTGTTTCCTTTAGCCTTCCAAACTTCATGATTTGACAGTCAAGAAATTGATATATATTTAGAAAAAAAATCTTTTAGTTTATTGGCTGACTGAGTGAAACTATAAATTACACACAGCAGTGTCATGTAAGTACCCAGATGCTGAACATATTTAATTGGAAATACAGTAGAAATTGAGTCATTGAATGTATAATTAAATTAATTTTTTGAAATAGCTCAAGTGTGTAGTATGATTTAAAAAAAAAAACAGATCTTGAGGGCTATTCTGTTGTAAACGCCACTAACAACCTTAAATGTTGACGAGGCAGAAAATTGTCAATAAATAAAGAATACAGAATCAAGTTTATATATTTAGTAAATATTTGCCGGTTCTTTTTTTAACAAAAGTTTATATTAAAGGAGTCTTTCAAAGGTATCGAGAAGCCAAACATGAGACCTGATTTGAAATAGAGATCATGGGATGTTTGGAAATAAAGGGTGGATGTTTATTGATGCATTGTGTCATCGTTGTTTATCAACCAGAACCCCCTTCCCACTCAATCCATTGCCCATTGTTGTCGTGTGGCTTAGGAGACAGGGACTGAGGCCCAGTGTGGGGGATCAACCCTACCTTGGTCCCCAGCTCTAGCCTCAACTAATTTTGCATGGTCTTTCCTTCTCCTTTCATTTTCCTTTTCCCTCCCAATCCCTTGCCCGTTGTTGTCGTGGGGGGGCTTAGGAGGCGGAGACTGGGACCCAATGATGGGAAACTCCCCAACCTTGGGACTCAGCCCTCGACTCAACTAATTATGCATGGTCTTTTTTTCCCTTCCCACTTTGTTTCTGTCCCTTCACCAAACCCTTCTGCTATCCACCTCCTAAGTTGTGAAGCGTACTAAAAGGATGAAAGGCTGACTTTGTGCTCAGTCCTGAACGGCCTGAGGGAGCCATGGGCAGGTATTTCCCCTGATTTAGTATCGAGCCCCTGAGGGGTGGACTGTTTTTATCCCAACAGAACCAGTCTTACCATGGCCAGTAATGAAATATATCCCCACTGTGGGGCATGAGGCTTGCCCTTTATCAAATAGCCCCAAAGAATTAAACCCACCCCGTTCCCCGACCCTCAGGCTCTCCTTTGAACCACGGCTCCGAACCACTGCAATAACGCCCCTTCACTCAATGCCTACTAGTACAGTAGCCAACAATCACCCTCAAGGACATTTCCACTCCTCCCCAGCATGCCCAACCCCCCTTTCAACACGCTCTACCCCCACAACCTCCACATCACCACCCATCCTCCCTTATTATACCTTACAGCCTTATAGCCCACCTCTCCATCACACTACCCTCATCAACACTACTCCATCTTCGTCACGAGCCCTCGCCCTTTCTTACCACCCCTATCTTCTAAACAATCTTGAAATACTCTCTTCATGCAGCCAAATTGGACCGATTTTTCGTGATCCCTCCCACAGCTCCCTACTGCTTGACACACCCTTCTCTTCAACATGCCTCCAAAAACAAGTAGGTAAAGTCTCTTTCCGTAGCCGACCCGACCGCTCC